TGATTAGGAGCATTTGTCTGAAAAACAAGCCGAGGGACAGGTTCTCGGTGGACGCACTAGTTGTTTGGGGTGCAAAGAGCCGTAAATCTGGCTCAAACAGCACATTGCCATAGCAACAAGAGCATCTCAGTGATCTGGTCCCATTATTTCCATTCAGCCATGCACTTAGGACTGTGGCTAACATTAAGGATTGGAGTAGCCCGATAGGAGCATTTGTCTGAAAAACAAGCCGAGGGACAGGTTCTCGGTGGACGCACTAGTTGTTTGGGGTGCAAAGAGCCGTAAATCTGGCTCAAACAGCACATTGCCATAGCAACAAGAGCATCTCAGTGATCTGGTCCCATTATTTCCATTCAGCCATGCACTTAGGACTGTGGCTAACATTAAGGATTGGAGTAGCCCGATGGCCTTCAGTGGGACTACTCGTTGCTTGAAGTTAGGCATGCGCTTAAGTGCCTTGCTGAATCAGTGACTTGGATGGTATTTGCAGCCCCTCTCGCCTGACCAGTTGGCAAATGACATTTTTCATCACAAAGAATGCACCTGGGAAGGGACAGACTCCCAAACACCCTTCCACATTTGTATTCCCCCAGGAAGTGGGGGTGTGGCCACTTTGGAAGCTTTTTATTCGCTTGGGAATCCTCCATTCTGGAGGGCAGCAAAGACAGCATGTGACTTTGTTGTGAATGAATACCACAGATCCAAAGCAGCGTTCCAGGGTAGCTCAGAAGCCGAAATACCTCCACAGAAACGGATAAATAGATTTCAAATTGTGAACAATGGAGTAAATTCATAAAGCTTGAAGTGTGTTGGCAAGAAACCTGAACGGAACAAGAGACTACGTATGTCCAGTTGTGTGTAGTGTAATACATCCCGCTTTTGTACAGTAGTAAGTTTTTCAAAATGCATACTAATGACAGCTGGAGAAACATGGACAAAAATATCAACCAGTAGCTTTGGCCAATAAAAGCAGCTGCTGGGTTTGGCTGAAATTGGCAACATACTTCATTCATAGAAGTTCAGGAGAGCAAGGTTTTTAACCAAGAATGTTTAGAGAAAGCAAAAGTCACATGAACGTTCATGTGTATCAACTCCCAGGAGAGAGTTTACACTGGAAGAGTAGTTCTTACAGGACCTGCCAAAGACTTAGGCGATATGTAGGTCAAATATACTTCCTTTCCCAAATTCCTCTCTGCCTGTATAGAAGTTCCTGATTCAACTCTCAAGAGCCTGAGGCTACATCTACACAGCAGCGCTATTTTGGGATACAGGAACCATTCTGAGATACCTATTCTGTGTCTTTTGAGCGCGTCTGTTATTTTGAAATATAACGGGCTCGCTATTCCGATATCTCTGTAAACCTCATTCCATGAGGAGTAAGGGATGTTTTGGAATGGCGATTTATTTCAAAGTAAGTGCTGTGTAAACAGTGCCAAATTTTGATATAAGCTATTTTGAAATAAGATATGTACTTTTCATAGCTTAAATTGTGTATCATATTTTGACCTACGGTACAGAGTAGACACACCCTGATAGAGCAAAGTGTTTAAGCAATGACTCTTTGGGAGCTGGGGTCATTCAGCAATTTGCAGAATAGGGCTAATAAAGGGCTTAGTTTTCAATCTAATTGGAGTAGCCATGTGTCCATTACAGTGCATTGAAACAAGTCAGCGTCTTTTTTAAATCTCTTACCAATGAAGTGTCACTGCACCCAAGTTCACTAGAAACTGGTTGTGCTGTTGGAAATTTTACAGATTTTTTTCTAATAATATTATTGTAATGTTAAACAAATACAGGTTGTATTTTTCACGTAGGATATCTTAGTGCTGGTTAAATGGATTTTTTGATTGGTTGGAATTTACAAAAATTTTAGGTCAGAAATTTTAGATTTTTAAATGTTTTGGGACTAAGTAAAATGAAAGGAAATTTTGAAATGTAAAGTCATTGGAAATTGGGAGAGGAGAGTAATTTTGAAACTAAAACTCAGCAAAATTGACACAAATTGGTGAAATGTTTGTGTTGCCACAGCAACATTGTTTACTGAAAAAATTTCAGCTGGAATTTTCCTCCCAGCTCTAGCCGTTCCTGATCTGATTTCTCATGCATTTAAGAAACAAATAATACCATCCTTGAAAAAGACACGTTTCAGTGCCCTGACTGCATTTAAAGAGCTAAAACGGCCGTCCCTGTTCAGCCATGTGAAAATCCTTCTGTTTCATCTGTAGAATGGTGTTCTGCTCTCGCGATGGCATCTCTTACCTCAGAAAAGGAAAGGAGGCGGCAGTGTTTGTGAAATGCATGGAGAAGCCCAAGAAAAGAGGCCCAGGGTAAGTGCTGTACTGCAACATATGGGCCCACCCAGACAAATCCGTGGTGGCATTCAGGATGTTCTCAGTCTTGACTGAGGTGGTGGGGAAAAATCTTGTGAGAAAACTTCATCTCAGCATGTGGCACTAAACCTCTCTCATAGAGCTGGAAGAGACCTTGAGAGGTCATCTAGTCCCCTGCCCTCACAGAAGGACCAAGCCCCATCCCTGACAGATTTGCCCCGGATCACTAAGTTGCCCTCTCAAGGATTGAGCTCACAATCCTGGGTTTAGCAGGCCAATGCTCAAACCATTGAGCTATCCCTCCCCAATCATGAGAGTGCAGGATTGACTTCCCCAACGCGCTGCGAGAAATGACCCACATTACTATGGGGGTCTCTGAACGTTGCTAGAGATTATGAAAACTCAATGACAGAATAGTTGGGCCTGTTTCTCTGTACAGCCATTGACCCCTGGGCAGCGGGAAGGCATGGGTGTGTGGGGGGGGGGGATGTAAAACCCTACCAGCTTACATCCATGCTTTGCACAGGAGAGCACAGGCCTCAGAGTCCAACTTTCCCCGGGACACTCAGACCCCGCTCAGCCTCAGGCCCTGCCTTCACTCCACCCCTTGCCCTGAGCTCCCACCCTGCCCTTTCCCACCCTGGCCCCGCTTCTTCCCCCTCTTCCTGCTCAGTTCCTCCCCCTTCCCCAAGCACACCCTGTCCTTGTTCCTTCCCCACGCGTTCTGCATGCCACAGACCAGGCATTGGGAGGAAGGGGGAAGAGCTGATTGGTGGATTGCCAGCAGATGGCAGGCACTGGACGGGGGGAGTTGGCTGTCAGTGGTTGTTAAGCACCTGCTATTTTTTCTGGAGCACCCATAGTGTTGGTGCTTATGCATCAGGGGGTCAGGTAGGGTGTAAGGTGATGCCTTTTAACTCCGCAGGAAGCAAGCAAGTGCCCCTTCCCCAGTAGCTGGCTGGGGTGGGGGAAGCAGAAGGGGTGGGGCCAGGGCCAGAAACTCTTTCAGCTGTGCTGCCTGGGATGCTGCCCGCGGAAGGCAGCCTGCTGCTGCTAAGGCCAGGGGGTAGGGAGAGCCAGAGCAGTGAGGGGTACAGGTAATGTGGGGTGGGGAGGGCATGGGGTCCACAGGCTGAGGAGGAGTCATGTGGGGCGGTCATGTGTCCTCCTTTTTAGCTGGAAGTGGGCACCAGTCATTTGTGGTCCAGGGCTAAGCCCCGTTGAAGTCAATGCAAACTGCTGGCACTTGTCACGCCTGTAAAATTCAGGCCTATCTTGGGACTCCAGAATTTGAGGGCATTTTTTAAAACATTGGCTAGTGCAACGCCCACTGAAGTGGATGGAAAACCCTTTCTAGGGGCCACAGTGGGCTTTGAGCTGTTCTTTGTTTTGCTCTGATGCACCTAAGTTATTTTAAGCACGGAAGAGAGGGGGGTATGTGTAATAATTAGCAGCCAGCAGTGATCACAGAGCTGAGCAGCTAGTGTTACACCCAACAATTATTAAGACTTTTAAAAATCTCACAAAGAAGACCAATATAGGTTTTAAACGTCTTCTATTTCTCTTTTAGAGACCTCGAGGAAAAATCATCCCAGGAATATTCTGAAGAATGAAGTGGATGAAATATTTCTACTTCGGACGGAAAAATAATCCCCATTGTGTTGGGTGTTCAGAACTGAATGTATTGAAATATTTAGCAGCTGTAACCGTGCCGGGCCTTTAGCCTGCTATTCTTAGGTATTCTAGGAGACTCAGCGTCTCAGGACACACAAAGTGGTTACGTAACTATAAAGAACGTATTTACCAAATAGCTTAAATGCTTCTACAGAGAGTGTAACAGCTTGATTACCTGGAAGAATTAAGAGTTATTTTGCCTCAAAATATCACCTTGTAACAAGGTTTCTTGAGATAGTGTACTGTATAGCAAATTCCTAGTATTTATTGAAAAGTTTCACATCTGGGCCTGTATTTTGGCTTTTTTAAAACTTGATTTGTGACGCTTTAAAAGATTTTTTCCAAAACCGGACAGATGTCTGTTTTTGTGGTTGGGTCACATCCATTTGTAAGGAGTTGAAAGACTTTTGCTGACCTTAGTGTTGGGTGGTCTAATACATATTTAGCACATGTGTAATTGTCATTCAAGAAAGCACACACCTGCCCTTGCTAAGGCTGGTACTCAAAAGATGCTCAAAGATGCCCAGGACTGAATATGAATATGGAAAGAGAAAATGCTAGATAATAATGCATTGGAGTTTACCTCAAGTACAACAGGCTGCGTAACAACTTAGCCTAAGGTATGAGCTATTAATCTGTACTCTGTTAAATAGCTGATAGATGTTTCCAGTCAGGGGCAATGTTCCCTCTAATTTTTTTCCATCCGTATGCAGAATAAATTTTGTTATGTGCACCGAGCCATGTGTGGATATGCACCACCCGTAGAAACAAATGCTATCGGCTGTAAGTGCTCTGCTAATCAACTGGGGGGTGGCATTTGAATCTCTCCTGGGTGGCCACCCAAGTGCTCAGCTTACTGGCAACACTGGTCATTGCAGAATGAAAATGCTAGCATTGCCTCAGATGATATTTTAACATGAATGGGTAGCCTCTTTTTCAAATAAAGCCATCTAAACCCTGAAGTTGCTCTGAGTCAGGGCCTGCAAAAGCAGCCACCCACTGGAAACTGCAAGCAGCTTATTTTTGTCACCTGTTCACAACCGTACCCACCAATGTGAAACAAGGTGACAACCATGCTCAGAAACAGAGTTTGTCATTCGAGCCTCCTGTGTGCCTGTGTTTTCCAGAGGTGAAAATGGACAGGCTGTGATCACCCTTCCCTTTGCTGATGTTCTTGTCTCCAAAGACAAGATTCTGTTGCTTCCTCGCCTGTGACATAGGGGTAAAGCAGTGAGCTGCAAGAGGGTTGGAAAGGACACAAATTGCAGTAAGGTTCAGTATCTAGGCTAGGGGTTGTGAAGCTTCCTTGTCCCGCAATCCCCTTCTGGCAACAAAAATTACTAGACTTCCCCAGGAGGGCGACCGAAGTCTGAGCCTTCCCAGCAGGGGAAAGAGGGCGAACTCCAAACTCGAGCTCCACCATCCGAGCAGGGGGGCTAAAATCCAAGGGTTTCAGCCCCCCGGCAGGGGCCTGTAACCGGATCCCTGCCGTCCAGGGCTGAAGTTCAAGCTAGAGTTAAGCTTTGCCTTGGGCGCCAGCAAAACTAACGCCAGCCCCGGCAACTCCATTAAATTGGCATCGCCACCCACTTTGGGCTCCTGACCCACAGTTTGAGAGCCGCTGCGCTAGGCCATGCAAGGAACCGGAGAGTATTATTCACAAAACGCAGTGCTTTGAGATCACTTGAACTAGAAGGGCCATAAGCACACACAAGCACAGTAAAACGGAAGGTTTTTTAAAAATATAAATAATGTGTATGTATTTTAGTGCCATGAAAAGATCAGTAGCTGCCTTTTATTAAGCCATAAATCAAAAACTGGGGAGGAACTACTGAGCTACGATATGATTATACCTTCATTTTTCATAATCCTTGTGCTTATTACCAAACATACGGTGAAGGTGGCATTTGTGCTAAGCCATGCAGAACAAAACGTGATGCCTGCCAGTAGGTCCTGTTTCAATCACCATGCCATTAGCAGATCAGGTGAACATAGAGCTAACCCTGTGCAATATGTTGCAATGCCAACAACTCACAAGGTGCTAAAATGTGATGTCTCAACACAACCCAGTGTGGCTGAACGAGGATCCGAGTGTTGCAGGGTCCTGGAGCATGTGGCTCGTCCTCTGAAAGGAATGAAAACATATTTCTGGTTGGCATTGCTTTTCCTAAAAGACGAGCTCTTTGGAAAGAAGCCACAAGAGCACATGCATATTTTAGTACAGGATTTAATAACACATACTGCACTTGCAATGCCCAGTGGTGAAGGTTTCATGAGGCCGCATGATTGAGCTTGAAATGTTATTTATGAGCTGTAAATATATATTTTTATATCTGTGTGTAAAGCTAATTTGTATATATTGCAGAAATTACCAAGATTCTTTCCACTTATCCAGTTGTGCGCTATCAGTCCTAGAGATCTGGCTTTCAAGGAGTTACTTCACCATGCCTATAAAATAATAGTGTAATATGCATTTTCTAAGGAATTTTGTACTGAATGGAAGCCCGAGGTTTCAATAAAGTTGTTAAATTAATTCCATACTTAGACTAGTTTTGTTTTGCAGAAATAAGCATGGAAACATTAGGGGTATTTTTAAAATGGACAGATCTTGCTGGACTCTGGGAATTGACAGAGGGGAACCTTTTCAGAAGCGACTGGTGATTTTCAGCATGTCCAGTTTTGGTTGCTTTGTCTGCCTTGCCTGCCTGAGATGCTTTAAAGTGGTATGATTTTAAAGAAGTAGGGGGGGGGGGAATCAGACCTGTCTAACATAGTTCAAGGTGGGCACCCCTAAATCAAGGCACTCCAAATTACTAGCTGCCCTTTAAAATCTTGATCCTCAGGGGGAAAACAAGTAGTTTGTCAAGTTTGGAAGGTCCAAAATTTGACTCTGTCCATTTCTGAAATCTGTTCAAAGTCTTGTTTTATTTGTACATTACATTACTAGAGCTACCAGACGCATGACTAGAAACATGCTCATGGCTGAGTGAGCTTAGTACAGGCACCCTTCCCTTTGGCTATGTGGAAGACAAAAATAGCTTTACTCCACTTCACATTTGCATAGCTACCTCCTGGCCTGGAGGTTGTTCTGAAACATGATGGGAGGGGAGTGGGGAAAGGGTCTAGTTTGGATATTAGAAAAAACTGTTTCCCCAGGAGGGTGGTGAAGCTCTGGGATGGGTTCCCTAGGAAGGGGGTGGAACCTCCATCCCTAGAAGTTTTTAAGTCCCTGCTTGACAAAGCCCTGGCTGGGATGATTTAGTTGGGGGTGGTCCTGCTTTGGGCAGAGGGCTGGACTCAATCATAGAATCATAGAACACTAGAACTGGAAGGGACCTCGAGAGGTCATCGAATCCAGTCCCCTGCCCTCAGGGCAGAACCAGGCACTGTCTAGAATGATCATCCCTGATAGGTGTCTATCTTACCTGCTCTTAAATATTTCCTGGGATGGAGATTCCACAACCCCCCTGGGCAATTTATTCCAGTGTTTCACCACCCTGACAGGCAGGAAGTTTTTCCTGATGTCCAACCTAATGACTTCCTGAGGTGTCTTACAACTCTATAATAGTTCACAGGGCACAAGTTAGAGGAGCGTGCAAGCTGCTGTAATTTGCAACATACCAATAATAATCAGGGAAAGCTAGAAAGAGAGGAGCCCTCATTGAACAAAGACAGAGGGGTGATGTAGGAGCTATTAAAGCAGCCCTGTTTTTGCTGAGGCTTTCAATTCTCAAGGGACTGCTTAACTGGGACAGCGGTGGGAAACAGACAGGATTATGGATGTAGAGGTGGGTGAACGTTTCAGTTTTGGTGCAACGGAAGCTATTTGTGAATTCACATCAAATTCAGAGAATAGTTTCAGATGCACAGTGTGTGTGTGTGTGTGTGTGTGTGTGTGTGTGTGTGTGTGTGTGTGAAATCAGGAGTCGAAATCAGTGCCTTAGGTCGTTCAAAAAAATTTAAGGATGAAAATCCCCTAAAGGCACAAGACCACCACTGACAAAACTTCATTTCCAGTCTGGCAAAATATTCTGTTCAAACCATAACTATTTTTTTCTGGTTTGGCCCTTAAAGTGAAGGAAAGTAAAGGAGTCTCTGGTGGATGGTCAGAATCTCCATTTATGGAACCCGGTCTGACACCCTAAAATGAGCCTGAGGAGAGATGTGGTGTGAGAGGTGGGCTAATGCGGAGTAAGGCTAACTACTCTTCTTGTAGCTGAGCCAGCTGTGTTGGCTGCTCTTAGCAAACTCTTTTGCCACTCCATAGGAGTTACAACTGGACATTTCTCCCTGGTCACGCAGCAATGCTTATCTGAGCTCATCATTCTCTCCAGAATGTTGCTAGAAGGAAAGGAGACCTGAGGTTTTCAAAGAAAAGAGAGTGGGTCAGATGGGAAAGTGAAATGGGAGGCAAAGAAGGGGCAGGAGAGAAGCAGCATTTGATATGAATGTAGGCTGCAAGGGGAACATTTCCATTGCATTCCTCTGTTGGACTTTCATTTTTTCCACCAGCACTAAGAGAATCTCACAAACCAAGAGACAGGGGAGATTGTCCTACTCCTGTGTCACACTCCTCCTCCCCCATGCTGAAAGACCTCAGGGCTGCTAGCTTTCACCATAATTACATGAAGTCTCATATTTAGTGGAGTCTTAAAGCAGCCAGGTCCTGGAGGTGAGAATTAAGTGAAGGCCTATACCAAAATGAGTGTGTAGCCTTCAGTGTCGCCAAGAAAAACTTGTAAACATGACACTGAAGGACTCAACTCCCCAAAGTTCCCTTTAAAAATAATTGCATGATTTTAAGCCACTCTGGAATTTTTGAGGTCTTCTCTTGATTTCTGAATGTTTGGAATGGATAGTCCTGAAAATTGAAAACCACAGGGTCAAATTCTGGCCCTCTGGTCCTATATAGCATGGGAGCACTTCACTGTAGCAGGAGTGGAAATGGATTTCAACCAACTAAAAGAAATAGAAGAGAAGGTCCCATGGAGAGACCAATTAGGAAGAAAAAGGAGTTGAAGGGGACTGACCATTCTTAAAAGATGTAATTCAAGAGGCTCAAAACCAAGCTATTCTGATGCAGAAGACAGATAAGAGCCACCACAGAAGACCAACAGGCCTACACAAAGAGCTTTTAAGTTATCTAAATCCCAAAAGGGATACCCACAGGAAATGGTAGGAGGGGCTTGTCACTAGGGAAGCAGGCACAGGAATAGTATGAGCGTGTACGGATAAAAATCAGGAAAGGCAAGGCAAGGAAAGGGTTACAACTGGCAAGGGATGTTAGGGTATGTCTACATTGCACAGCTATTCCAAAATAAGCTACAGGTGTATTCCAAAATAGTTTATTTTGAAATAGCACATCTACACTGCAGGGAAGCCTCAAAATTAGTTTGAGCAGGCTTCCGTAATGTAGACGTGCTATCTCGATTTAGAGCCCCAAGAGGTACTGGGAAGGAATAACTTAGAAAGGCCCTGGTGAGGGGTTATTTTGAAATAGCAGCAGTGGAGCGTCTACACACGCCTTATTTCAAAATAGTTATTTCAGAACAGGCATTATTCCTTGTGGAATGAGGTTTACAGAAGTCAGAATAAGCTATCCGTTATTTCAAATTTATTTCGAAATAACAGAATTGCTGTGTAGACGCTCCCATTGTTATTTCAAAATAACTCTAGTTATCTCAAAATAACAATGCAGTGTAGACGAACACTTAGAGAGAAAAAAAAGGGGTCCCACAGATAGGTCCAACAAAAGAGATCAAGGAGGGCAAAGGTCAGGTGCCCAGTGGAGATGATGAACTGGGAATAAAAGATAAGAAGGCAGACAAAAGAATAACATGTGACCAGATGGTTAGTGAATTATCATAAACAAAGGAGAGGGATGAAGATGAGGATCAAGAAAGACCTCGTCAGTGATCTTGTGACTAATTTGAATGAATTCAAATCAGTGTGGCCTGATGCTAATTTACCTAAGAGCACCGAAAGAATTAGCAATGGAAATCTCAAAACCACTGGTAAGAATATTTGTAAGCTCACGGATGACAGAAGTACCAGAACACTGGAGAAGAGCTGATGTACGGCCTATGGATACGTCTACACTGCACTCTAAAATCAAAATAAGACACGCAATTTGTGCTATGCAAATCGCATATCTTATTTCGATTTTATTTTGAAATAGGCTATTTCAAAATTTGGCGCATCTACACAGCGCCAAAATTCAAAATGAAGTGCTATTTTGAGCCATCCCTTATCCCTCGTGCAACGAGGTTTACAAGGATAGCGAAATAGCGCATCTGTTATTTCCAAAATTATTTCGAAATAGTAGACTCATTCCTTGGATGCAGGGTAGCTATTTCAAAATACCTGTGGTTACCCAAAATAGCATTGCAATGTAGACGTGCCCTATCTTTGCAAAGGGGGAAGAAAAAACAACCTACAAAATATACAATATTCAGATACCTGAAAGATGAAGAGGTAATCCCTTGTAGACAGCATGGATTTACCAAGAACGAGTCATGCCAAACGAGCCTGGCTGCCTTCTTTGACAGGGTAACTGACATAATGTACTTGACCAAGGCTTTTGACACAATCCCAGATGAGTCTCATAAATAAGCTGGAGAAAGGCAGGCTCGGTAGAGCTATCATTAAGTGGATACATAATTGGTTAACCAATGTATTGTGAATACTGTAGGCATGCTTCTGCTTTGGGTGAATGCTGCATTATCTGACGAGTAGAGATGGAGGCCGTCCAAAAAGGAGATCCAAATGTATTTTTCATAAAAAGAAAGACTGAAGAATGAAGACTCAGTAAAATACGTATGCTTTTACATTTTACATAGAGATGCCTCTCCAAAACTCTAGATGCCTAAACATAATTAATTTAACTAAACCTCAGCAGAATTAAAAATCATCATCTGTGCTGCAGGAATTCAGCCAACATCTTCTAGGAAGCTCGCCCACAGCCCTCTTCTCCAAACCCTCTTAACAGATGCCCTTTGCAGCATGCCCAGAAAGTCACACATAAATGAAGGGATTTGAGGTCACAAGATGCACAAAGCGAACATGGGACGCGGAAGGGGAGGGGAAACGATTTTTGGCAGGGCCCAGTTCAACAATGTTCGCTCAAGAACATGCTTAATTTTGAGAACGTCCTTTCGCCGTTCACCTAAGCTCACTGCTGAACAGAGATATTTCCCCGAATGGAGGTCTTTAATGCTTTCCAAGTTCACCCAGCTAGAATGAAGTATACAAGTCAGGACAGCAGGTGCTCCAGGACTGTATGCAAACTGTGCTGGAGTCTTTAGATAATATAATTAGGGCCCTACCAAATTCATAGCCATGAAATACGTGATATGGACCATGACATCTTTTTACGTGTGCGTTTTTACCCCATCCTATACAGGTTTCATGGTGGAGACCACTGTTTCTCAAATTGGGGGTCTGGACCCCAAAAAGAGTTGCAGGAGGGGCTATTAGATTTTGGGGGGCCCTATGCACAAGTCTTTTTCCTAATTTACAACAAAATGATCACAA